CGTCAGCAACCATAGTCGAAATGGAGAAATTGTACTTTTCTAACGCGCTCGGCCAAAAGAAGCAACCATATAATTTATTAGTACTATAAAACTTTTGAGAGTGACCTCGGGTAATACCATGCACATGCCCGTGCATGAGGATCAAAACGTTTGGCAATGAGATAAGTAGATTTGGGAAAAGTCATGATGTCGCACGAGTTTGGTTAATACCTGTACATGTAAAGGATAAATTTTGTTTCGTATGGAGTAAGTCTGCATGAGAGCTGGGTACTGCATAGCAGAAAATCTTACCTGAATGCCTTATACAATGGTCGAAACCAACAAATGTAGGACGCTGGAACGCACAAAATGGAAACCAACAAAGCGACACCAAACACAGTGCCTCCATCATTGGTTGAGGCCCCCGCGAAATATATTAGTGTGCCTAATAGGTTCACTGCTAACAACGAAGCGTACGCCATCCATAGATAATAGCCAATTTTCACGATCTTTTGGTACTCCACATTGATCTCTAGCTCGATATCTTGATAGAAACACGGTTTGCACGGAAAAAAATTTGGCAGTGGGGGCCAGTTCTTCAATGGGCCTGTAATATAAGAGAAAAACAAATAATGTATAATAGAGAACAATCACGTGACTAACAACGACAATTTAGGGCAACAACAGTCTCCTTTGAAAGGGACCAAAAACCAAAAACCACAAAAAGTTACCATTAATTAAAGATTAAGCAATGGTGTATATCAACCTAAACCAAATCTAAATCAATTCTAAATTCATTTAGAGGCTACCTTTGGAATGTCTATCACGTAATGGGCTTATTCTGCGTAATAAAGAGGAAGCTAACAGCTTCAGCGCTGTTGGAATCAGACTGATGCCCCGGTGGCTGGAACAAACATTGCGATAGCTCTTCTTTTAGATGGGCAAAACAATCGATTCTCCTCATGTTTTTGGGTACGGTTTCATTCTATCAGATCTTCGAAAGCAATCTGACAAGCTCTCTCATGAAAGCTTCTTCGCAATCTTAAAAGAGGGCCAATGGCAGGTTGTGTGATCCAGATGCCTAGTGGCGTTTCAGGGCTCGGATTTCCGCTTCTGTGGGCGTTTCCGTTTATGGTTACCAAGGTCTTAGGAGAACTGTTTGAGGCAGCCAGCGCGAGAGGCTGTTTTAACTATGATGTGAAGTGCTCAACCTCGCGTTACAAGCGTCGCTGAAGCTTTTATATTGGTGTGCTGTCTAATTCGCAAATTGTTCCACTGACGCACTGTCTTTTAGAGGCCAGTAGCACGGACGACCGGGAAAAGTTGGCGGGCGTTTCCACGCCTAGCTGCTCGTTCCATCTCCTTTACACGTAGAGCCCCCCAGACTTCTCGGTCGTCTCTCAAACTCTCTGAATTCTAGCGTCTAGAGAGAGGTGATATTCATGATACCCGCCATCTGTCAGGATTACACGACGCGCGTCAAGAAGCCGGAATTCAGTCTATGCAACCGCTAACCACGCACATTCGTGCAGCGGTTTTCGTTGCTATCTTGTGGCTACTCATTTGGGTAAAGGAGCGGATGGCGATAACGCTGGAAGCAGTATCAATGTGAAAATGGCGAGTTTACGGAGACTGTGTTTGCGAAGAACTTGAGAAGATACACAAGTGCCACCGTTAGTGGCACTCAGTCATATCACTAAGCTTCTCTAACCATTGATCAAACCGATCCGGAAGTCTATGCAGGAGCACTAAAACAAATTATATGACTGAGTCCCTGGTCAGCATGTTCGCACCCATATGCTATGGCCGTCTATTTACTGGCATGTGTAACACGCCTTTTCAACGCAATCTATGCAGTTCGACCACCATCGCGCAACAACTCTGTGCCTAACCCCAGCATTGCTTGTTCAGTTGCTCCACCAGACTTGCGTTGTGCGGAGCAGACAGCTCTGTCTGCGTTCCGTTATTGTAACCGTCAAATCTGCACCATGCAGCAGTACTGGCCGAACTACTGTAAAATGCAGTCAGCCGATCACAAACAGCCGGATGCCGCANGATGCCGCAACAGTGCCATAAATGATCCGTGGCAAACGTCCACCGAGCCTTAGACATGCATGCCGAAACTTCTGAAATTCATTCAAGTCAAAGCAGATCGATGAACACAAAGACCATCGGCAGCTACGACGGAGTTGGTACTCACTTTGTTCTTCTCGCATCTGATACTTACGTCTTGGAGAAAGCCTGAGTAGAGTGACGGATGCCACAAACTTCGCAGCAAGAAGTATCATTTCTAGATCCACCACACAAACCCGACTACTCCGAATGAGTTACTGTTCACATCTCGAAAAACCCCAATACAGCGGATCGCCTAAAAAACCAATGTGGTGAACCTAATCACCACCATCGTATCATAACAATATTTCCCTTGCAGAGTAAAGATCCAATACTCGAAAACTGCAAAGCATCGAATAGTGGGTCTCAATCATGCAAGGAGCCCACAGATGAAGCAGAAACAGTATTCCGCGATAATGGATAAAAATCCAATGGAAGACTCGCATTCGTCACCCAAAGCGATTCCAACAACCCTCCTTTTAAAGTGAACATTTGAAAAATGGTCAGGAGTACAGGCAAAAATACTAGGCCATAGGCGCAGTACTGCATTCCCTGATTGTTGGAATAACGACGAATTTCGCTTTGCATGGTTTACTGATCTTGTTTGCCTTGAGATTTCATCGAAAATCCTCATTTGCTACGAAGGACGTGCACAAGAACAGCCTAAAAAAGCGTGATTCCCCTTATTGATACAGTGTTTTTGACTGAATTTTTAGTTCATTTCCTACTGTAATCAGAGTCAAATGGGATTTGCTCATTGACTTTAGTTCTGAAACTAGCAGAATTTGTTGACGAATTGCTTTATCATTCGTAAGTGTATGATAACTCCCTTGGTAGACCCATGACTTCTATCTTCCTCGATCTGAAAGCGGCTATGGACTCAGTTGATCGCTCTATACTCTGGCGCTGTCTCTCCCGAGAATTTTATTTTAATTCTGCGAACTCTTTATACTAACAGTCGAAGCCGATTTCAAGCTTACGGCACTTCTTCGACCGATTTCGCTAAAGAAAGTGGTGTTCGACAAGGTTGTCCTCTATCTCCGTTTCTATTTAGCTTTGGCATAGATTTAATTCTTCAAAAAGCCCTATCTACGTATAGGGAGAGCGGCATCGACTTGCTCCAACTCGGTAGACTGTCTGATCTGGAGTGCGTAGAAGACATTGTTCTACTAAGTGAAGATCCAGGTAATTTGCAAGCTTTCCTGAGAAGCGTGAGTGCTAGTGCATCTATTTGCTATGCGTTTCGTACCTTCGAAGTGTAAAATATTGTTACAAGATTGGGTAGATCCGACCCTTAACCGCACCCTGACTTGAGAAGTAGAAGAAATAGACAAATTTTGCAATCTGGGCAGCTATACCTCACCTGGCGGACGCGTCACAGATGAAGTGTGGGCACGCATACAAAAGGCTCGGTTGACATTTGCCAACTTGACACATCTGTCGCGCCGTCGCTACAACCGGCTGTCTGTGAAGGGTCGAATAAATGCTGCAGCAGTTCGGCCAAAGCTCCTATACGGATTTAATAAGATTGATTTAATAAGAAACTCCGAACAGATGACAGCCCTTGAAAATGTACTAGGTTGGAGAAAATTCGAAAACTAATTGAAATGAAAATGACAGAAAACATTAGACTCACCCGAACCTAATCCACGCTGGGCCTGTGCAGCAAGTCGATTCTGTTCTTCCTCGCGGCGAGCTAATTCTGCGGCCTTTGCATCCAGTTCCCGCTGACGGCGTTCTAACTCTGCGGTTGTCAATAACTGCGCCTCAGCTGGAGAGTAGGCTGGGGGATATCCTGGAGCTGAGGAAATATTGCCTGTTAGTGTCGTTTCTCGAGACTCGAATGGATTATAATCCCCCAACGCAGACGATTCTACCCTCGGTAACTCGGAGCCTTGAGTAACCCGAGGTTCCTGAAGAAGAAGAATCGACCTGGAGTAGCTTTTCACAGACTTCAACATGAAATAGTGAGGAAACAAAATTCCATAACCACAAACACCTGGAAAAAGCTGTTATAGAGTAGATAACACTCCGCTGCCTTATTTCATAAAGAAATAAAACTACCCTGCTGTCAGCATTATACTGAAGACTAGCATATTATCAGATGCCATTAATTTTGCCATTCCCAGTTCGAAAATCCAAACTGTTGATCACCCGTTATGCACTCATCTATCGTAATGCACAAACCATAAATTTACAGCACTCGTGGAACGAACAGACCCCAACTTCTCATATGAACAATTGAAATGCAGTAAACAGCAGATGAAGAAATGCTGTTCCGGCGAAATGACCTGCTTCTGTTCAATAAACAGAGTACCTAAATTTTGCACTATGGGTAAGCGTTGGGTGGTGCTGGAATCAGAAATGTCCCAAACAACCTGCGTCACACAGAGCCTTTGCTGTGTAGGTCCTATTCATTTTTGTCAAGATTGGAGGTGTTATCTGCCGAAGCAGAGGGATGAAAACGATGTTTCCTATTCATTTAAATATTATATATATATATATATATATATATATATAATGACTGCGTCGGATAATTGTCTATGTATGATCTCAGCTGATGCATCCTCTGAACGGAAAAGAAATGCAATCACAATAAATGTCATCTACGTACCGCGTGTATAGTACACACTCTGATGACTGTGATTGAGTGTTTTCCAGTTTCACCATGAATAAGTATGCGAAAAGCGGTCCCAGCACAGACCCAATGGCCACGCTATCCTTTCATTGATAGATTTCATCGCTAAACTTGAACTGAACACTATACGTGCAGAAATAAAGCAGTTGTTTTAGGTTATCCAAAGGGAGGCCGAGCTCTGTATTATTGGTTTGTACATAACTGCAAAGGTATTCAATCGTTTTGCTGATGGGAACATTGGTGAACAACGAGCTGACGTCCAGCGAGAGCATTGTTCGATCGACCAAGTTTATGTCACGAATTTTGTTCACAAAAGCAAATGCATCTTTGGCACAGTGTTTTGCCAAGCTAACTCGAACGGGTTCTAACAATTTGGCGAACCACTTTGCCAGGGCATGATATGGCGAGTTGCACATATCCAAAATCGGTCGTATTGGTACTCCATCTTCGTGTACTTTTGGTAATCCATACAACCTCGGAATAACAGTCCCGGTCGGCCTAATACGTTCGAAAATAGATGCATCAATCACTCCCCTTGTGTTAGGCATCGCAAAATCTTAGAAAGCGACCCTTCTATTTGAGCCGTCTTATCCTTTTCCGTCGACTTGGTAAATTTCGACCGACCACTCAATATGGTATTCATCTTGTTTGTATAGTCCATTCAATTTAATAGCACGATCCCTGTCCCCTTATCCGGTCTGGATAGTATAACTTCTTTGTTTTTCTGATTCCATTGTACGAGCCAGACAAACTTGTTGATCTACCTGCATCACGTTGAAGGCCCCGAAATCCAGTGATGACGAGGCTTTAGAATTTGCAATTCACTTCGTGGTACAATACTTAAAGTGCTATTTGGCAACGACCTTTGGTGAGCGACATCCAAGTTGCCTGAAGGACTATTAGAGGTTGGAAGGAGGGGCGAATTCCAAAGCACTTTATTACCGTATATAGTTCAGATTAACCTAAATTGAGTTGAAGTCCGTATACCGGGCCCGGCTTCGCATATCTGCAAAGCCGATATCAATTATCAGTTCACGTTCGATCGCACGTTTCCGGATTGTTCCGCACGCGCAAACCATTGATCGCATTTTTCGCCAGCCTTGTTCGATTGGGTCACGTGGGTGGTTGAGCGTTTTCTCCCCCCCTCCCCTACTGCTACAGTCTAACGATTAAGCTCCTGCTTTGGTTGAAGAAATGGTCATGCGATCGATAATCGTTTCCACTCATTCATTCGCTCAAACCAAATGCGTTCAGATAATTCTCATCCTGTTTATAGCTCGAATCGGGCAGTCATGTGACAGTCATACTCGGGTAATGTTACGCTGTGTTGTATCGGGCAGGAATCCGTTCGTCCTAACCGCGTGTTTTTACGTAACGAAGAGTTGAAAAAGTCCCTCAGATCCTACTATACGTATATTGATTGGGGCGAATTGTGACAACTAAAACATAGAATAGCGGTTCAATTTCAATAATTGCAAAGTTTGAGCGACCATTTTTCCTGTAAGAGGGTGGGTCGGTCGGTTTCCTAGATGCCACGAATTGCAACTACACACTAATACAGAATGGAAGGGAAGTTTGGTTCGGAGGAATTTTGTTTCGTTTTCCTACTTAGTGAATTTATCTATATTGAGAAACGAGCATATTCTTTTCTAGCACAGTTGAGAATAGACGATGGATTTTCCAGCGTTTTCGGAATGAAAACAACGGAGAGATTGGACAAAATATATCTCAGGAAAAACGCCAGTAGTTGATACTGATACTGATACCGTAAACTTGCCTCGGAGCTTAGTAGTTTGGGAGAAATTTTGGAAGCCAGTTACATCAAACATAGTCCAGTAAAATTCGGTGCTTTCTCGCTCCAACGATTAGCAGCTATTGCAATTTATTTATTTTTGAACCATTCTACACTTGCGGTTCACTGCAATTTCATCCTGACACAAGTGCTGTTGTCACGTGTTTGTTTTTCCTTTTCCGGCTTGCTGAATACCGTTTATACACACCGTTGCCATATTTTTATAACAAGGATCATTTATTCACAGAAGCCTGTAATTGCAAAGGTTTGCTGTTTAGTTATTGGGAACCTAGAACCGGAGGCTTCAAGTATTGAACTACCACGGAAGTACTCTAGTGTGGATGATGAAGATCACTAATTACATAATTGTTCAGTATGTATGTTCAGTATATACGCGATGGCCATGGTTATAGTGCACAACTCGGAACAGTAATGCAGCTCTTCTGACATTGTGCTACTATATGAAGATCCAGTTAAGCTGCCAGCTTTTCTGGATAGTCTGAGTATGCGTTTTGCACCTTCAAAGTGTAAAATGTTACTATGGGATTGCTTTGGCCTAGTCCCCAACCTCACCCTGACTTGGGAAGTAGTAGAAGTGGTCAAATTTGGTTATTCGGCCAGCTATATGTCACCAGTTAGACGCGTCACAGATGAAGTATCGGCGTGCATACAGAAGGTTCGGTTGGCACTTGTCAACTTGAGACATCTGTGGTGCAGCTGTCTGTGAGGGGTCCAGTATATGCTGCAACAGTTTCGCCAGTGCCGCTGTACTATGCAGTGACTTAGCCAATACGGGAACAGGATACAAATAGAATGTCAGTGTCCAAAGACCACTGTGTACACCGCATTGCATGAGTCTGGTGGGGCAACCGAACGAGCAATGTTGAGGTTAGGTGTAGAGTTTTAAGTAGTCGCAGCCTTCCAGTGGATCATGGGGAGACACAATCACATATTGTAGTCACGCCAATAAGCCTTTATCCAGAAGTTTGCATCCCAGTTAATAACTTAAACCGTATCTTGCAGTGTGTTTGGTGTGTAAATCGTCTGGAAATTGTGAATTATGTCCTGATTCCGGGTTCGAAACGAGTGATGTGATGTTCGACTTCAAGGATTTCTACCTGGACCCAATTATACGACAGTATGACCAGCACCATTGTTCATGATTAACAGCGCCTCGGTGGTGCAATGAGTTTCGTGATTCAGAACATTCGGTTGCGCATCCAAAAATCGGGAAGCACATCCCCGTGCTCGTTGTTTTAGATTTGTTGTGTTTCTTTTTCGGCTTTTCAATAAGCCCCGGTTTTGCCATACAGCCCCACACACAATTGAAGTGACTCAATGCTTTTCAAGCGATATCGCGGAGTACAATTGACAGTATGCAATGCAATTAATGATTCATGAAAATGTTTAGTGTAGGGCACAATGTTTGAAATAGTCCAGTTCTTATTCCATTTCTGTCGGAGCTATTTAGTACTTTCCGTTTCAACGTTGCCCTCGTATGGCCAGAACCTCGGAAGTCGGTTGTTTTATCCCCTTTTTAAAAATTCCATTGTCGCCCGTTTTTTTATTTCTCGTACCCTTCTTGGTGTGTATTTCATGATGGGATTTTAATTGTATGTTTACTGCGGGGTTACATCCGGAATCCATAGTGATGACATAAATGTGCATCGCGCGGGTGTTTTAGGTCAATAAGCAGTGGTCGTTCTCCGGCCCGATCTCTTTTGGTTTCGTTTTATTGACCGTTCGGGTTGGGGAAAAAAGCTCTATGGTATGGGTGATCTTCTTTGCCTCTGTCGAAGTTTTTTCACAATTGATTCCCCAACAAGACAAACTATTGTTTTTATAAGCAATTCATTAATCAGAAGCTTTGCGTGATGAGAAATAAGGTGATAATTGTGGCAAATGAATAACACTGATGCATTTGAGCGATTAACAATCAGGTGGTCGAGTGGTAAAAGTCCCTAACGTATCGACCCGAAAGACGTGTGTTCCAATCACACCAGCACCACTGCCTGACTTTCCCCGTTCTCTGTGGTGTATGACAGCTCTTTGATTGTCCACTCTTCTGTCCGCAACAATTTTATCATCATATATTCAACAAAAGAAAACATCCAGATTCTTTAATCACTGTGCATCTTTGCAGTTTGCTGAAACAAAACGGACACATTGGGGTTTTACTTTTCGGTTGAGTGTTTAATTGAATGGAAGTAAAATTCATTGTCGTCTGTCGTTTTAACATGGACTACAGTGATATCGCTCGTTCGTAATCGTTCGTAATCTGGCTGAGTCACGGACTAATAACCTTACGAAGCCTCTATCTCACACAGACCAAAGCAGAATCATTCGGCCTATGCGAGCTGGCCATTCAGCGAGAAGCAAACTGATTGCAATCAGCAGAGCGTTGTCAGTACGCTGGAAGTAGTGCAGCTTGTGAAAGCAAGTGCAAGCGATCCCAGCGAGCTTGTTTAGTTAGTTATCGCCTGTCTGTCCCAGCATTTTGTGCACGCTATGAATCAGAGCTGGTGCGTGAG